TTCAAAGCCAGCCTGTGTAGACAGGTCCATGAGACTCCATTTCCAAAATATTGTACAACACCAGACCGAAAGGGAGATTCGAGTCTTACACACCAGCCGAACGAGCAAGGTGAGCAAGTATAAGACCCTGTATTCAAACCCCAGGATCAGCAAAGAAGGTGTCTGGGCCTCTGATTGACAGGACAGCTGGGTGGCCGCTTGAGCCACATCAACATTGTTGAGCAACAGCAACATTTCAGGGTGCTCACTCCCAGGTGCTCTTGTAACACCCCAAAGAGCTAGCATCACCTTGAATACTGCTCCCTAGATGGCCCTCCTCCTAGTCCAGGCTTACCTGGAGTGGGTAAACTGAGGCCTGAGCATGGTGACTGGGTCTCTAACCCTCCCCTCTATTGCCTGCCTGGCCAGAGTACCCAGGCTCAGACTACATTGGGCTCCAGGTGAGCACAGGGGACAGTATTTCCCCTGGGGTGGGGCGTGAGGCCCACAGGCCACGAAAATGCCCTGTGCTCTTAGCCTTTGGCTTGTTTCTTTTCCAAAATGTTTTTCTTCATTTCCTCAAAGGAAAAAGAACCTTGCAAAAGATTTTTACAAGATGCTCCCTAGAGGAAGGCAGCTGGTGAAGCCCCGGCTGGGGACCCTGTGGGTTTAAGAGGACCAAGGTAGAAAGCTAGCCGGTGGGATCCTGGCTGGAGACCTAGACGACAATGGCTGAACATACTGCCAAAGGAGAAACCCAACCTGACTCTGGTCCATACAGGAAGTACCCCGCTCCGCCCCGGCCCCGTGAGGGCCAGGATCCCAGCAGGAGTTGGGGGGGGTCCCCTGCTCCTGCTCAGACAGCTCAGCACAGCTCTGCCCTGTCCTGCTGGTGGCCTCAGCCAGTGGCTCCTGCTGCAGCACGTCACCTACAATGTCTAAGTGGCTGCTGAGCCGGGACCCGGATCCACTTGTGGGAAACCCTACCCACTTCCGGTGTGGTGGCTGAGGCCAGAGCAGAAGCCGGCCGCCCTGCTCAGATTGGGAAAGCAGCCTTGTCTGGAGAGGGCAGGGCCTGGCCCTCTTGTTCCCGTGGCCAGGGAGAGCTGGGTTTTGTCTCTAGAAAGGCCGGTGGCCAATCTCTGCAGAAGAAGGGAGATCTGTGACCTGGGGCGGGGTGGGGGTGGGGGTCTTCCTCCTCTGCCCATCTCTGCCATTTGTGACGGACCCCAAAGGCCAGTCCGGTGCCTTGACGGCGGAGTGGAGGTAACTTTTGCAGGGAAGCAGCCGGGGCTCCGCCGGCCGGGGAGGGCTCTTCCTCACCCGGGGGCGGGAGGCGTTGGCACCTGTTCCCACCGCCTGCGCTGCCGTGTGTGGCGCAGAAGGTCTGTGCGCTGTGTTCCTGCGCGGGTGGCTGGTTACCACGCCGCCTGTGCACACACTGGCGGTATGGAAGGGAGGGACGTGGGTCTGCACTCAGGCGGTGGGGGTATGGCGGGGTCTGTGATTTGTCCCTGGGGTTCCTGCACCCCAGCTTGTTGGGGTATGCCGGCAAGGACAGAAAAAGGCCACTCGTTTCCCATTTCCCATTCAAATTGGTGTCTCCCCTTCTCTCCCCCCCCAATGCTCAAGCCAGGGACACAGACCTGGTGACCAGAGTGAACTCAAACATGGAAAGGAGCAGAGTAGGCGGAGGGCCAGCTGGGGTTGGAAGAGCCAGGCGGGAGGAAGGACTTACGGCAAAGTAGGCGCTGCCCCCGTCCGTCCAGAGCACCACGAGGTCGGCGCCCTGCAGCTCCCCGCGGTCTGACATCCCGAACAGGACCCCGGCCTGGAGCCCGTGCACCAGGAGCTGGAAATGCACGTCCTTCCGGACATAGCTGACGTTCCACGAGAGCTCCAGGACCCCCTCGGGGTCCAGGGGGATGTGGTAGGGGAAGGGGCTCTCTGGGGGAGCCGAGCCCTGCAATGCAGCCACCAGGATGACCAGGAAGATGGCCACTGCCGTGCCGTACATGGAGGCGGCCTCACGGGCGTTGGGGCCGGGGAGATTGGCTCGGCGACACTGGCGGCTGGGGGCTTGCATGGCTGCGGGGAGCTCGGGGGGCTGGCTCCACCTGGCCCTTTCTATACCCCAGCCCCCCGTGAGGGTGGATCCTGGCTGCACCCGTAATCACATTTGTCTGGTGGGGAATTCAATTGTCCAGTGGCCGGTCTCCACCAACCTGGGCCCCAGGGCAAACACGTTGCTCCTGCCCCTCCTTAATTGGCACTAATGACACATGGACATCATCTGGGGAACGGACGCCGAGCGGCTGATGCCCTGAAGAGCCTCCGGGAAGGCAGGGACGGCGGCCACCGGCCTCACGACAGCCTTCAGCCAGGCGCAGTGACCACCTGGCTGGCTGATGGTCCATTCTCGTCCTTTCCGGCCACGTGGAAAGCTGAGGGGCCCTGCCGGGGGTGACCCGTGAGAGGTGGGCTCCTCGCCATGGGCCTGGCCCCGCCAGCCATGTGGTTTCTACAACGCTGGAGGGTGGACTGATTTCAAACTAAAAATAACAACTATCCCCAAATAGTGAGTGTTTAGACGCTCTCTCCACGGCCTGCTGTTCCCCCTTTTGTCGCCTCTATTTCCCCACCAGCTCCAGCTGGCACCACGGCTGCTCCAGAAGGCGTGGGCGTGCGGCTGGGGTGCAGATCGCTGTGGGGTGCGTTGCTGGGCAGGCGGGAAGGGGCCGTGTGGAGGACAGGCAAGGAGCCAGTGCGTGGCTGGGAGACAGTCTTTAAGGAAAGGGGGTGAGGGTCAAGGCCGTTCCCCTGTCCGGAGCTCTCAAGGACACAACTTCTTCTTGTCTGGACTGGACCAGCTGAACTTACCTCCTTGTAGGCCCGCTGGCCCTCAGCCCTGTTTCTCCCGTATCTGCACAGATCTGCCCACCAGTGCCCTGCGTCCATCTCCCTGCCACGCCCGCTCAGCCTTGCTCCTCGCAGGCAGAGCAGCTGGACCAGGACCGTCACTTCCCGGAGATGCTGCCTGACCTCCTGCTCCAGTCCTGCCAGACACCGGTTCTGAGGAAGGAGAAGGGCTGTGTTCTCCCTCCTGCGGTGGGGTTGGGAGACAGTGCGGGCCTGGCCCAGGGGACAGGGTGGGGGTGGATGCCCTTGGCCTTTGTGCGGAGGGTGGGCCTCTCTCCCTCGTGCCAGGACGCAGGCTGGGCGTCTTTGGGCCATGGTTCTCAGTGGCCCTCAGGACAGGGAGGGCCCAGGGGGCTCCGGGATGAGTCCTGCACCTGCACCTCGAAGAATCACTGACTGTCGCCTCTGCCACTGGTGACAAGGACATCGGCCACCATGGCTCCCTTGGACTCAGAACACTGAGGCTGTCCTAGGCCAGAGGTGTGGGGAGGGAGGGGGGGTGCGATGGCAGCCGGCCCCGTCCACTCCTGGGTACAGAGCCCGGTGGGCTCGGGACTGGAGGCGCTGGCCACTGGCCTCATCCGCTCCTGGGCTCACAGCAGCCGTGGCTCGGAGTCCCCAGGGGAAAGGCCCGCGTGTGGCTCTCAGTGAACAGCAGAGCACCAGGCACACGCAGTTCTTTTTAACAGGATTTAAGAGATATTCTCCCCGGCTCCGTACCAGGCCAGAGCACCAGCCTTCCTCCGCCTCACTGGACAGCAACGGTTCTGCTGATTTCAGAAAGTAACAGGTACCCAGTCCGGGCCGCTGGCAGGAGGGAGGAGGGACTGCGCGGCTCCCCTGTCACTGCTGCATCAGGACGCAGCCACCGGAAGGAAATCTCTTCACCTGGGGTTACTCAGCCGCAGGGGCAGGGCAGGGCGGGCCGGCACCAGGTCAGGGACCCCACAGTGGGTCTGTCAGTGTCGGGGGGGGGGGGGAAGGGGGGAGGGGAGGGGGAAGGTGATGAGCTGTGCATCTCAGAAGCCAAGGTCAGAAAAGTAACAAATCCCTCTGACATCAGGAGGATGTGCAGACCAGAAATGCACAGTCGGGGCAAAGCCGTGGACCGCGGGAGGCGGGGATGAGTCCCACCGGTCCTCCTGGGCCCTGGGCCCTGTGCCCTTCCTGGCACTGGTGGATCTTAATTAAGAGCAATCTGACCCCACAGCAGGAACTGGCGCAGCAGGCAGCTGCCCCCCCCCCCCACGCCCCAGGTGTTAGACGTGGCTCTGGCTTTAGTTGTTGGGGGGCGCCCCCCTTCTTTTTCCCCCCCTGCCCTCCCCCCTTGGTAACTCTGCTCTGTCAGGACAAGTTGTCCTCCAAGGGCGGGGGTGGGCTGGGGTGGCCCGTGGGTGTCACTGTCACCACCAGGAAATCAGCCTTGTTTGCGGCCACTCAGCGCCTGGCTCCTCTCCAAGGCGCATCGACGGCTGACCTCATTTAGAACCCATTTCAGCGTCTTAATAAGCCCCTTGCTTTCCGCACCGCTCTGATGCCGGTGGCCCCGGGGGCTGCCAGCCCCCACCGGTGCTGCCACGTGAGGCCCAGCGGCAGACACGCTGTCGTGGGTGGTGACAGCCGCAGTGCGGCCCTGGAGATGGGGCAGCGGGGCTGGGTGGGGAGAGCCGGTGCACAGAGGCCGCCGCTGGGGTGTGTCCCCCCACAGGCCTGCACCCCCAGGACGTTCTTATAGGACAGCTCAACCCTGGGGCTGGCAGCAGCAGCACCCCGGCTCCTGAGGGGATGCACTGCAGCACGCCTCCCGGGGCAGCCGGTTTCTGACCTGAGCGTGGAGTCTGGTAGGAAAGTGGAAGTTCACGTCCTCCTGGGTGACCCCCCCGCGGGTCGGCCTGAGTTCACGGCCTTGTCCAGGGTCTGGGTATCTGGTGGGGGGCCACCGCTGGAATAGTGTGAGGGCCTAGGTGGAGTCGTGAGGGCCTGGGCAGGGTCACAAGGGCCTGGACAAGGTCACTGCAGGTGACCCTAACCCTTACCCTCCGCCCCCTCCCCAAGCTCTGGAGGGCAGGACAGGCGCAAAAGGGTTTGGTGCTGTGGGCCCGATGAGCCAGGACGAGAGGCCACCCACAGTTCTCCAACCTGGGCAGGACCTGGCGCTCCGGCCCGATGGGCCAGGACAGTCCCAGACTGCAAGGCCTCCACTCTCACCCAAGGGTGGGTGACCAGCGTGGCCCCTCTGGCTCCTTCGCTGCTGGGTGTGACAGGGTCCTGGGCGGACCCGCCAAAGCTCCCTTGGGCCCACACCCTCCTCTAACGGGTTGGTCCTCCTATCTTGTGCTCAGCCATCTTGGACCGCCCACAGGGGTCCATGCCAATGAGGAGAGACCTGCCCACGGGGTCTTCTGGAAGACTGCCTCCCCCAGCCCGCCTCTGGACTGCACCTCACCCCTGCCTCCCCCAGCCCGCCTCTGCACTGCCTCACCCCTGCCTCCCCCAGCCCGCCTCTGCACTGCCTCAACCCTGCCTCCCCCAGCCCGCCTCTGCACAGCACCTCACCCCTGCCTCCCCCAGCCCGCCTCTGCACTGCACCTCACCCCTGCCTCCCCCAGCCCGCCTCTGCACTGCACCTCACCCCTGCCTCCCCCAGCCCGCCTCTGCACTGCCTCACCTCTGCCTCCCCCAGCCCGCCTCTGCACTCCTCACCCCTGCCTCCCCCAGCCCGCCTCTGCACTGCCTCACCCCTGCCTCCCCCAGCCCGCCTCTGCACTGCCTCCCCCCTGCCTCCCCAGCCCGCCTCTGCACTGCACCTCACCCCTGCCTCCCCCAGCCCGCCTCTGCACTGCCTTACCCCTGCCTCCCCAGCCCGCCTCTGCACTGCACCTCACCCCTGCCTCCCCCAGCCCGCCTCTGCACTGCCTCACCCCTGCCTCCCCCAGCCCGCCTCTGCACTGCCTCCCTCTGCCTCCCCCAGCCCGCCTCTGCACTGCACCTCACCCCTGCCTCCCCAGCCCGCCTCTGCACTGCCTCCCTCTGCCTCCCCCAGCCCGCCTCTGCACTGCACCTCACCCCTGCCTCCCCCAGCCCCCCTCTGCACTGCCTCACCCCTGCCTCCCCCAGCCCGCCTCTGCACTGCACCTCACCCCTGCCTCCCCCAGCCCCCCTCTGCACTGCCTCACCCCTGCCTCCCCCAGCCCGCCTCTGCACTGCCTCCCTCTGCCTCCCCCAGCCCGCCTCTGCACTGCCTCCCTCTGCCTCCCCCAGCCCGCCTCTGCACTGCCTCACCCCTGCCTCCCCAGCCCGCCTCTGCACTGCCTCACCCCTGCCTCCCCCAGCCCGCCTCTGCACTGCCTCCCTCTGCCTCCCCCAGCCCGCCTCTGCACTGCCTCCCTCTGCCTCCCCCAGCCCGCCTCTGCACTGCACCTCACCCCTGCCTCCCCAGCCCGCCTCTGCACTGCCTCCCTCTGCCTCCCCCAGCCCGCCTCTGCACTGCCTCCCTCTGCCTCCCCCAGCCCGCCTCTGCACTGCACCTCACCCCTGCCTCCCCAGCCCGCCTCTGCACTGCCTCCCTCTGCCTCCCCCAGCCCGCCTCTGCACTGCACCTCACCCCTGCCTCCCCCAGCCCCCCTCTGCACTGCCTCACCCCTGCCTCCCCCAGCCCGCCTCTGCACTGCACCTCACCCCTGCCTCCCCCAGCCCCCCTCTGCACTGCCTCACCCCTGCCTCCCCCAGCCCGCCTCTGCACTGCCTCCCTCTGCCTCCCCCAGCCCGCCTCTGCACTGCCTCCCTCTGCCTCCCCCAGCCCGCCTCTGCACTGCCTCACCCCTGCCTCCCCCAGCCCGCCTCTGCACTGCACCTCACCCCTGCCTCCCCCAGCCCGCCTCTGCACTGCACCTCACCCCTGCCTCCCCAGCCCGCCTCTGCACTGCCTCCCCCCTGCCTCCCCAGCCCGCCTCTGCACTGCCTCCCCCCTGCCTCCCCCAGCCCGCCTCTGCACTGCACCTCACCCCTGCCTCCCCCAGCCCCCCTCTGCACTGCCTCACCCCTGCCTCCCCCAGCCCGCCTCTGCACTGCCTCCCCCCTGCCTCCCCAGCCCGCCTCTGCACTGCCTCCTCCCTGCCTCCCCCAGCCCGCCTCTGCACTGCCTCCCCCCTGCCTCCCCCAGCCCGCCTCTGCACTGCACCTCACCCCTGCCTCCCCCAGCCCCCCTCTGCACTGCCTCACCCCTGCCTCCCCCAGCCCGCCTCTGCACTGCCTCCCCCCTGCCTCCCCAGCCCGCCTCTGCACTGCCTCTCCCCTGCTTCCCCCAGCCCGCCTCTGCACTGCCTCACCCCTGCCTCCCCAGCCCGCCTCTGCACTGCACCTCACCCCTGCCTCCCCAGCCCGCCTCTGCACTGCCTCCCCCTGCCTCCCCCAGCCCGCCTCTGCACTGCACCTCACCCCTGCCTCCCCCAGCCCGCCTCTGCACTGCCTCCCCCCTGCCTCCCCCAGCCCACCTCTGCACTCCTCACCCCTGCCTCCCCCAGCCCGCCTCTGCACTGCCTCCCCCCTGCTTCCCCCAGCCCGCCTCTGCACTGCTTCCCCCCTGCCTCCCCCAGCCCGCCTCTGCACTGCCTCACCCCTGCCTCCCCCAGCCCGCCTCTGCACTGCACCTCACCCCTGCCTCCCCCAGCCCGCCTCTGCACTGCCTCCCCCCTGCTTCCCCCAGCCCACCTCTGCACTGCCTCCCCCCTGCCTCCCCAGCCCGCCTCTGCACTGCCTCACCCCTGCCTCCCCCAGCCCGCCTCTGCACTGCCTCACCCCTGCCTCCCCCAGCCCGCCTCTGCACTGCCTCACCCCTGCCTCCCCCAGCCCGCCTCTGCACTGCCTCACCTCTGCCTCCCCAGCCCGCCTCTGCACTGCCTCCCCCCTGCTTCCCCCAGCCCACCTCTGCACTGCACCTCACCCCTGCCTCCCCAGCCCGCCTCTGCACTGCCTCCCCCTGCCTCCCCAGCCCGCCTCTGCACTGCCTCCCTCTGCCTCCCCCAGCCCGCCTTTGCACTCTAACCCCCCGGGGATAGACAGCCAGGACTACAGTCCAGAAGGGCACAGAAAGGCACAGCAGGGCCTTCCCAACCCCAGCAGCCCTCCCTGACGCACACACCCTGTGCTGGGTCCAGTGGATGGAATTGGACCCCAATTTCCAGCTCTAAATCCTGTCTGTACGGTGGACCACAGGAGGAAGGGCCTGTGGAGGAATGCAGTAGTCAAGGCTCTGGACGAGGAGAGGGTCCTGCAGCGTCCTGTGCCAGATGGACCTAGGGCCCCTGGAGGGGAGGCAGAGGCTGAGTCCAATGGCCGTGGCAGTGGAGGTCAGAGGGAGGAGACTGCTGGATGGGAGATGGATGGAGCAGCCAGAGCATGGCAGCTCATGCTCGAGATGGCAGCAAGGGGATTCCCTGGACTCCAGACTTTCGGTCGCTGCCCGGTAGGACACAGGAGCTGTTCTGAGACTCGGAGTGGTCGGCCATTTATCACGATAGCCCCACCCCTGCCCCCAACACAAAACTCCCTGGGGTCCAGGACTGTTTCCCTTCTGCTCTGGGCCCCATGTCACTGCTTTGAGCCCCCCAGAAACCAAAGGCAAAGATTGGGGCACACGCAGGACGTGTGAAGGGTGACTGGGGTGTGGAGAGGGTTGGGTGTCAGGAGACGGATACAGTGTCTCGAGCAGAGGCCACTGCAGGCAGAAGGCTCCGTCCCAAAGGTCTCCTGGGGAGACAGCGAAGGTACCCCAAAATCAGCACACTGATTTAAGGAAGCTAGGGTGGCCCTCAAATCCTCCTCTCTCTCATTGAAAGAAAGGGGCGCCCAAACATCTGGGCCCAGCCCTCCCACCGCTCAGCCCACTGGTGTGGGGGGCAGAGATGCGGGGACACCGTGGTTCAGGTCCCCGGGGAAAGGTCTCTGGGGAGGATGGCTCTCGGGCCCTGAGTGCCTGCCCAGCGCATAGCAGGAGCTGGCCCAGGACAGCGGTCACTGCTGGGGTCTGTGTCCCTGACCACCCTCCCTGCCTCTGCTCAGGTTCCTTTGTGCCCCGGCCTAGACCCCAGATGATGATACTTGGCCTGGTATCCTGGTGCCTGGACCCCCACCACCAATTCCCTGTGAGCTGCAGGTCACAAATGACCATGTCAAAACTAGAGAGTGTAGCGCCGGCCTGGGCTGCAGAGAAGGTGGCAAGGGGTGGGTCACACGCACAGCGGGAGGACGGGGAGGGGCGGGGAGAGCCTCACCCGAGCCTCTATGCAGAGCCCTTGGGCCCCACCGGCCTCTGCCACAGGCTCAGCGCTTCCTGCCACTCCAGAGCCAGGCACCCCGCCTCCGCTCAGCATTCCTGGACCACACTGGGGCAGCCATAGCCGTCCGTGGCTGGCTGCTACCTGCTGCTGTGGATGCTGCCCGGGCGGTGCCACCAACCAACTTTAGGACCTCCCCCTCCCCATCCCATACACATACCTGCTCAACTGCTTAAAGCAAGAAAAGGAGTCTCAGGTCCCAAGGCTGAGCTGTCCCCAGCCCTCGCCCTGCCCCCCACTAGCTTTGAGGCAGAGCAGACCTGGAAACCGGATCGGACTGAGGATGAAGGGCAAGCGCCCTGCAGCCTCAGCAGTGCCCAGGGGCAGAGGGGGAGGGGGAGAGTCTAAGCTCCCACTGCAGGGCAGAGCCTCACGGTCCTGCGCCACTCCTGGGCCTTGGTGGCCGGGAGCAGCATCTGCCCCTTGACAGAGACACCAGCAGGCAGGACGTGTTCCTCGTCCCTAGAGACAGCCAGAGGGGAACCACCGGCTGTGACCTCTGCCCCAGCCTCTTCTTCAAGGGGCGGAGATGGGACTGCCCTGGTAGATGTGGGCACCCGGGCTCCGAGCCAGCCTGGCGGGAGCTGCGCCTCTCCTGTGCTTTTACAGTGGGCTCCGTGGGTAGGAAGGACCTTCTTGTTATAAACCTGTCCACATGCCCGCTGGTTCAACACAGGTCCCGCATTCCATCCTCAAAACCCTTGTGCTTTGTGTCTGGCTTCCATCACTCAGCCCAGTGTCCTCGTGGTATATTCTTGCTGCAGCAAGAGCAGACTCTCCTTCCTGTTAAAGGCTGAGTAATAACCCGTTGTGCAATGAGTTCTACATTATTCTCCCGTTGGCTGCAGTAGGCACTCAGTTGCTCCCGCTTCTTAGCTACTAAGACATGATAGTCACACTCGTGACTAACATGGGTGTGAACATGGGTTCCCATACCCCTCTGAACCCCTGCTTTTAATTCCTTGGGGTTTATTTCAGAACTGAGATGGCAAGATCGTTGTATTTTTTTTTTGGGGGGGGGTATTTTTTTAGGAACCATTGGTCATTGTTCTTTTCATGGCCTACCATATACATTGTTTTGTGGCTGGCTTTTTAGCTTGGAGGTATTCCATTGTGCAAACTGACCCTGCTTCATGGTGTGGCTTGCCTGCTCATGGATGTATGCTGCTGGACATACATAATGTATATATAAAATGTATGCTGGTGTGCCATCTGTTCTATACACCAGCCCATGCACACATGCGACTCCTCACGTGTGTGTGTGTGTGTGTGTGTGTGTGTGTGTGTGTGTGTGTGTGCATGTGCGTGCACGCACACCTTTCCTGGGGCTTGAACTCAGGACTGGGCATTGTCTCTTAGCTTCTTTCACTCAAGGCTAGCATGCTACAGCTCTGCCTCTGGCTTTCTTGGTGCTTAATTGGAGATAAAGTCTTATAGACTTTCCTCCCCTGGCTGGCTTTGAATAGTGATCCTCAGATCTCACCTCCTGAGTAGCTAGGCTTCCAGGCGTGAGCCACCAGCACCCAGGTGCACTTGTGTTTCTTCAGAATAAGTTCATAGACATGGAGTCGTGAGATAGAAGATCAAAAGTGTCTGGGCTCCTAACTGAAGCCAGTCCTCAGGGCCCCTATTGGCAGGGCGGGGAGGGGAAATGTCCAGTCACTGACCATTTTGTCACCACCCGGAGACGCTTGTGTCTGTCTGTTATTTTCCTCCAGGTAAGTAGGGTTAGGCCTTGTGGCTGGGCCTCATGAGCTCCCGGGCAAGGCAGCAACCCTCCGGCGACAATCAAATGCGTCACCTTCACAAGCACAAATTGAATAAGGGCCATGGTGTCTGGCCATCTGCCTTGCAAAGACAAGGCTTTGAAGCCAGGACGTCTCCGTGCCCGCGGGCTCTGACATTCGCGCAGTCAGAAGCAGGCCGCGCTCGCTACACCCTGATCCAATTTCCCCGCTGCTGATCCACTTATAGGGAGGCTGGGCCCCACCAGACACTGGGGAAAGGGCAAATTAAAGTGACCAGGGTGGAGGGGTCCTGGGCCTGGGCTGTAAGAAGCCAGAATGAGCCAGGATGCTGAACTTCGTCAATATCTGGAGGACAGAGTGTCTCGGTGAGGCCAGCACTCTGTAGGACTTTTTTTTTTTTTTTTTTTGTCAGTTGTGGGGCTTGAACTCTGGGCCTGGGCACTGTCCCTCAGCTCTTCAGCTCAAGGCAAGTGTTCTACCACTTGAGCCAGAGCACCCCTTCCTGTTTTTTGAGTGGTTTATTGAAGCTAAGAGTCTCATGGACTTTCCTGCCTGGGCTGGCTTTGAACTGTGATCTTCAGATCTCAGCCTCCTGAGTAGCTAAGATGACAGCATGAGCCACTGGCCAGGGCTGTAGGACTCTGTTTTTTTGTTGTTGTTGTTTTTTTGTTTTTTAGCAGTGCTGGGATTTGAACTCAAGGCCCCACACTTGCTAGGCTGGCCCTACAGAAGCTTTACCCTTGTGCCATTCCCCTATTCTTGTTTTTACTTAGTGGTTAGTTTTTACATGGAGTCTTGCTTCCTGCCTGAGCCATGATCAGCCTGCTTTTAGGCTTGTTCTGGCTGCTAGGATCACAGCCATGCTCATGAGACTCCACGTCTATCTTCTCCATGATGAGATGGACTTTCACTTCTCTGCCCAGCTGGAACTGCGATCCTCTCCATTTCAGCCTCCCACGTAGCTTGGGATGACAAGCATGCACTGCTGTACCCAGCTGTGGGTTAAAAGGGGATCTTGTAAACTTTTTTTGTCCAGCTTAGCCTCAAACCAAGATCCTCTCTTTCTTAGCCTCCCAAGTAACTAGGATTACAGACGAGACACCTGTGGCTGGCTTGTCTGGAGCTTTGACGACGCCCTTTCTGTCAGCAAAAGAAACCTGTGCTTAAAGGCTCATCAGCAAGGTGATGGCAGGGCCACCATGTGGCCTCTTCCAGGCTCCCGCTCCGTCCGGAGTGGCAATGAGCACACCTCGTGGACGACCCAGTGCTGGTCTGTCTTGTCCTGTCTGGCTCGTGTCATGAGCCCCTGGGCTGGCCTCATCTGCCACCACCAATCCTCTACCATGGGGGTCTTTCCAGGCCAAAGTGCCATCTGGCCTCCCCATGACTGGGCAGAGAGAGGCACACTGGGCAGAGGTGGGGCTGGAAGATGAACTAAGGTCTCTGTGGGACAGCAGGCCTCTGCAGGGCTGGAGGGAGAGGGAGGAGGGAGGAGGGAGGAGGGAGGAGGAAGGAGGCCCTCCACACACCAGCCCTGGGATGCCTCAGCCTGGTGATGCTTCTGGGGGTCAAACAAAGATTTCACCCTAATCCAGAAACATTATCCACATGGAAGGTCCCAGTCTGGAGAGGGGCTCAGGAGGGGGTGCAGGGTGTGTGTGTTTTGGGGGGTTATTAACAGCCTCTGAAAGTGGTCAACTCAGCAGACTCTCCTGCAAAATCCTGGCACATCAGAGAAATGTTTCTAAATGAAAAAAAAATCTACAATCGTATTGATTTAAAAAAAAAATCAGTCTTTTTAGCTGATCAGACTCTTTTCTCTACAAATCACACCGAAAGATGCAGAGACAGGATTGGAGGAAGCCACATCCTGAAGGATGCTGCGATGTGATGGGGGGGGGGGGAGGGGAAAGGGGAGGGCCACGACCAAGGTGACCAGGAACTATTGCATTGTGCCAGAAAGAGGGGGACAACTAATAATCATAATAGGAGGAAACAATGACAGCGGCAGATTAGAATCAGAGGGATGTGCAGAAGTTGGAGACATA